AAAAGTTGATTGCAATATAAGGTCATGGGACACAGAATATTAATGTAGTATATATTTACCCCCTCCCCCTGAGCTAAATTCGGTAATTCACACGGACAAAGTCGCAGGCATAAGTTATATATTATACAAATATCTCAGCTTATATTAATCTCAATTAAATATAAACGAAATTAACAGATTTTCTTTTCATCACTAAAATATCCTCCTACATATTATTCTTAAAATCTTCATAAAGATTAGTTTAGTAGTTTTTTGTTAAAGAACAACATACATATAAATTTCTCATCAACAATAATAGCCAGGATTGAAAAGCTTTTTGTTACTACAGCGTTAATCATAACATCAGAATTGACATAAGTAAAAAATACTATTAATTTTATTAAAAATAATAATAAAATTCTAATATTAGTTTTATAAAAGAAATAAATAATAAGTTTAACAGCTACAAAGGATAATTTTACTTTTATTTGGCGATATAAAAAGACGTTAAACTGACTACTTGTACGAAAATCTTTTTTCAAATTAAACACTTATAGGGAGTTATAATAAAAATATATTTCAGTCTCGCTTAATTTGATAAGTACTTAATGTAATCGTTTGACGAAAATTTTGTTGCTAAAAAATAAATACAAACAGAGTACTTATTTACTGTTTTTCTCTTAGTCTTTCTCTCTCTCTATTTATGTACTTATACTATATGACTTATAATATATATGTAGGTATATGTTTATGCCACATTAGAACAAGTTCATAATTACTTGAGATTAAGCCAGTATATTCTTGGAACTAACTTCGAAGTTTTTTTAAATAAATTATAGTCACAATCTACTTGAAAATTACAATAATTATCAAAATAAACACTATAAAATTATACATTATAATACAAATTCCATTGTATAGTATTAAAAACGTCATCAAGTGCACAAGATCACCAGATACGCATTACTATCAGTAGTTAAGTATCGAGTATAAACCATGCGTTTACAGTGAGTGGCTCAGTTATTACAGATGCAGAACTATAACTCAAAGTTTAAACAGTGTTATTAATCTAGTAGTCATCTCAAGACCGCGCTCGGAGCCAATTCACACCACATTTGTTAGCATGTTATAACCAGTAGCGAATAATTACGGACCCTACACGCAAACTTGAACTACACTTAATATACTATTAAATAAAAACATCTATATCCAACAACTAGATACTACTGTACTGGATAAATATAATTATTTTATTAATCATCATCCCTACTAGTCCCTACTAATATTATAAATGAGAAAGTAATTCTGTCTGTCTGTCTGTTTGTTACGCTTCCACGCCTAAACCACTGAACTGATTTTAATAAAATTTGGTACAGACATAGAGTTGACCTTGAGAAAGAACATAGGATAGTTTTTATTCTATACTTTTGAAAGGTTCTCTTTGAAACGCGATATAACCGAACTCCACGCGGGCGAAGCTGCGGACGGAAAGCTAGTGATTTATATATATAGAGATTTGTTTATAGGTACTTATTGACTTTGTGAACCAAGTTAAAAAATGACTGAATTATAGCTTACATTGTTGAAGCTCAGTCTCCTTTTAAGTCTTAAGTATAAGAACAAATGAAATCAATTAACCCAAACAATATATCTTCTATAATACCTTTTAAGTCTGTTTTAATACGTTCAGAGTTTTTATTAATTACATATAGTATAGCCGGTGTATTAAGTGTCCAGTGATTTTCTCGTTTCCCTCATTAACTATATAAATATATGACCGACGCGTTACCTCGTCAATCACTAGCTCATTACTCATTTGAAATCAATGACAAAAAACCTACATTAAAGGACAAGTCACGCCCTTAGAGGGAAAACGTATTAAGACGATGTGCACGCGATTTATTTTATAATTACGATCATCATACTAACCAATAAGGTCGATAATCCCCTGATAGGTATATCATGTACAAAAAAAGCATATTTTTTCTGTGTCATTTTTGACTTTGTCCGTTTCTAGGAATATCCCATTAAATGTCGCCCGTACGTAATTTATTACGTTACGGTCTATATAACCAGTTTCATCTGTTAATTTTACGTTTAGCCACCTCGCCGGTTTATAAATAAAATATATATATGTTGGGACATTTAAGTGGTCAGCTTTTTTTTCTGTAACATGACTTGTGACGTACATCTCGGGTGTCAGGGCTCCAGTAGCTGTGAGGAGATGTCGCCTCCGGTTAACTTTATGATAATAACTGATAAATATATGACCCTTTAGAATTATATATTATATATATTATATAGTACATATGTTCTTTCACATAAAACGGGACAGACAAACGAATCTTTTATATATGTAATATGTACTATATCTTCCTAGTGCTATTTAAGACGAAGTCATTTTTATATACCTATATGTTATTTTTTTGCCTTTGCTTCCAAGACTTAAATTATATTTTGTATACAGAAGACTAATATTTTTTTATTAGTTTTAAGGTATTTACATGTAATTTAAAATCCGAACAGATTCCATACATCATTTCTTTGTAAAACCAACATGTTAGTCAATGTCGCACACAACAAAGATCATTTAATATGTACAACTACGGGAACTCGATCGAATAATTCGAAAACAGCTTAAAATTCAACTCACCGTTTGAATATAAAAGGGATCACAATAGTAAAGACAGTTTCTAGTATTCTTGGAATATTATAAACATATCATGACAGTATAAAAAAAGACTTCTTTTAAAACATCAACTACCTTGTAGAATGTTATTCATTTAAACTCTACCAACATACAAACACTTAATATATAAAGAAGTCAGATTCACGACTAAAATAACTAACTCTAAGTAATTACAAAAGAAATAACAAATCTTATTTATAATAACAAATTTAGTATTTACCCATCTTAAAACAAATACAAATAGCATTAATGTATACTATTTAATAATAATAACATTTTTACCGTTACAAAATTCAAAAGATGGTTATTTGACTCGACGCAACTAAACAGAATTTACAACTGTCCAGACTAACTAAAATAATCTAATTAATATGGAAGTTTTTAACTTCAAGAATACTGCAGTAAATTGAAGATTTTAATATAATTAAAATTTAAATTTCGAACATACATACATATACAATATATTCCTTAAATTTTGTCGTTATATATACACATATGTATATATATAGTTTTATATATATAATTAAATTAATCGGTGTAGTCGGGTAGCGTAGTAAATGCGTTAATATGAATTATTCATTGATATAAACAGTGAAATAAGACGATTGTCCGATTTCTCGGTAGCTGGGCGAGATGTTCTTTTTAACAGTTTTTGGAATTTATAAAGTAGGCTATAGCTACCCGGAGTCATTCTCACTTTTATATCTCCTTTTAGGATAGTTTATTTTTAGATTTCATTATTGGCGCGTTCCTTATAAACCTCGTTTGTGGTTGGGTTTTGTTAATTTTAAATTATTATTATTATAAACATTATCGTTCTTTTTTTGATTTTATATAAATATTTAATCAATTATTATTGTACTCTTTAGTTATTATAGTTATTGTTCGTTTCTTTTTTATATATTATTGCCAGTTATAAAAATAGTTTTACTTTTTAATGTTCGTTATTGTAATATATTTCAAAAATACTAATAATTTTATAAAAAGGATGTATATTTTTTTATTGCCGAATATAAGGTCAGATCGTTAATTCCAAGGGACATTTTTAGCATGCAGGTGTTTTTTAAAATATGGAACAAAAAGGTTTAATATAATTTATAAGAATCATGCTTTTTCATAAGGATTATGGCTTCACCATTTTTTTTCAATGCTTTTTGATATATTATGAAAACTGCTTTATAAATATTAACATAATTATATTATTATTTGTTTAATCTCCTATTAAGGTCGATGTTATTTTAATTGTTACGGTGATTAAAAAAATGACACAGTCGGAAAAATTTATAAAAAAAACACTCCGTTATGCTACTGACACATAATACGAATGATACATAACACTTTTGTTAAAGTTTTAATAAATATGTTGAAGTTAAAAAAATATTATTATAGTGTACATAGTAGTATTTAAATTAATATATAAATTAAAGCTATATAGTTGAGATGATTACTTGTTTTGTATTTGAATTTCTTTCATTAATTGTAAACGTTTAGAATGTGCCCGTCGGTAAACATATATTTGATATCGAATTTCATAATAATTTATTGGTCAGGTCTTTTAATTAATATAGGAACAAAATTTATGTTGATTTAATAAATTTGCTAACACCTGGCATTATGTGTATCATACCTTTGAATGTATAAAAAGTATATAAAAAATTAATAACCGATGACTAATGATATTTTTTAAATATTGCTTTGGCTATTAATGTTAAAGAATACGTCTATAAAAAAACTTTAATTTCTTTTGAAACTTTTTACAACTCTTGTATAAGTTTTGTTAAAATGTTTATTACAATATTGCCGCCATATTATCTTACTACGTCATTGTTTTGAAATTACTAAGAACTTGTTCTAAATTTAAATGGTTATTGCGTTCATAAAGTTGGAGTTTTTATGTTATAAGCTTTCAAGTATTCACCGGTGGACTGTTTAGTTGTAAAAAATACACTCAACTGCACACAGCTAGTGAAATGGATGCAAAGTTCATGTTTCAAGAGCCGCGATTAGTTCACCGGAGTCGATAACGTATTTAATTACATTATATATTGCTCGACACACTTCCCGAGCGAGTGATAACAAACCAGCGCCGAATGCACATAAAACTTTAACTATAGTACAAGATGTGAGAACATAAAACAACGGCCACACGCGGTCCAAGCGCACGCGGCGTAAACCATTAAAAAATAAGCAATTCAGGAGCGAAAGTGTCGGACAGCGACTTCGAAACTGATTGTACACAATTAGAGAACATACCTAAACACGGGCATGGCGTTATCCACACGCCGAACTCCAAACACGTTCAAATACGCACACCGGTTAAACACAACACCTATTACATTCTTATCACACACAGCTTGTTGCACTCGCGATGCACGTTATGTTGTACACTCATTATTTTGTTTACCGGCAGTTTTGGTAGGAGCGTGTAGAGGCCGTGACCGGACGAACGCCGCGAGTCTACTGCAAACAACAATGGTGCGTCGCGCGCGAGAACCAACTGACACCCACACAGGCGAGGCGCACGCACACAGAGACGCGCGGCCCGTGCACCGACGTGCGCATATAAAAAACCAACGATCGGTATGCAGACGTTCGGTTTGAGCAGGTCCTCGGCTTGACGCTGTTTTCGTCTGCGGTTCGGGGTGGCTATACCAAAGATTTCTATTCTACTCCTTTTCCTCATCATTATTTTTGTAGTACATAATCTTTGGACAAACATTAGTCGCTTTTACAAATGTATTATTATTCTTTAAATAAACCCTTCTATTAACATAACAAATATTTTTCTTATATTAAAATGAACAAAAAAATTTCAGCGTAAAATTTAAATTTCATAAATAACTTACTGAAATTTATTAATGTACATTATTTTATTATAAAACACATTTTTTTCGATTCCTTTCACAAAAACAATCGATTTTCATAATTTTTTATAGGTTTAATGAAAAAAAATTAATAAACCCTTACAGACCTCGAGAAGGTAATTAGAATGAAATGTATATTTACAGATTAAATAGTTTCCTTCAAAGAAAACTTCATTTACATACCAACAAATGGTAATATATTTACAAAATAATCGGGGAAGATTCTGCGGTGTGGCAACATTAAAAACAAAAGAACGGCAGTCAGCGAACCTTGAGTGGGCAGGCGATACGATTCGAGCCTGCGCCCGAGTCACCGCGCCATGTTGCCAGCGGCAAGAATGAGACAACGCTCTACAATCATATCTCCATCTCGCTCGCTCGCTTGTTAGCGTTATTGCGTGCTGTAACTATACTCGTCAACGACTACACCACACACCCACACGCACAATTGTTATCTTACACAAAATTTATAACGAGCAAGTTTCGTCTCAACGAACAATCCTAAATTCTTTACGGAAGGATTCCTTTTTTTTACGAATCTTATTCTTACGCTCGGGGCGTTATAAAATTATAATGGTTGCTAATATGAAGTTTGTTTATGATTTGTTATTTTGGCGGCAATGTTCACGGCCGTACAATACTAACGACCGTATTATAGGATATAATCAATGGAGATACTCTTATATCTAGTTCTTATAAAACAATTAATAATAATGTTGAGCAGTATGTATTGATGTTTGAAGTTTTTATTTGTAATTTTTTTCTTTCCTAGTGAAGAAGGTACATATCTCATTTAATTCTTTGGATTTATTACGGAAATGATATTCCCACGCATCGGAGATGGATGTAATGGGTCATTCTATAAGTTGTAAGTACGTATATTACGTATCTAATTAACTATTATTATAACATTGAGAGTGAATCTTTTTTTTGATTGATTCTTTTATAGAATTCAACTATTGTTGAATGGTGTATTAAAAATTAACAGCCAAGCATGTGACTAAAATTAATAACGAAATGTATATTAAAAGACTTACATTGACTATTTATAGAAATTAATTATAAAATATTTACATATATAAAAGTTAATATAGTAAAAAGTAATTAAATAATATAATTAAAATGTAAATTTTGCTATATTTAAGTCAATAGGCTCAAAAAAATTCGTATTCAGAGTTATTTTAATGTTTATTTAAGTATAAATTCCTGAATTAAATATATAATTAGTGATTATTTAAATATTTATATCAAACCAATATTATTTTAAGAATAACAAGTTTCGTTTAAAAACACTTAGAATATTTATTTGAATTATTATATTATGTGGGAGCTTGTTTTTTAAAATCTGTCAATTTTAAGTGTTATTATCTTGTCGCTAAGGACGAACTGTCAATTTCAATCTCTCAATTGATCACGCACTTCCTTTATTTTTGATCTGTTAGCAGTTTTCTTCACTTTATAAGGTTTACAGTAATTTTAATAATAAAATTAGTTACCACGGCTTGTTATTATAATCATTTATTTACTTTCGGTTGTTTTAATTATGAATCCCGGTAATAATACTTTTTATAGCTAAAATTTAAACTATAAAGTACAGAATAAACATTCAAATACTTACCCCATACAAGATTGTAGCGTACTTTATAATTTTATTCACCACACATCACGTCCCCTTACATTAATTATAATATCGAAAAATTATTTATATCATCTATAATTATCGATAATTATAATTTAATTAATATAATAATAGCCACAAATGTCGCCTCATTAGCTGAACGGGTTGAGGGTTCTCGGAAATCGCTCGTGTTTCTTCGAAAACAACAATGATCAGCTAGCGCCATCTAGTTTGGGCATTGGGAAATGGATGAAATGTATTGTAGTGGATATATTTTTTTAATTATCTATAATGATATAAATAAAATTAAAGAATTGTTAGTGTGCTAAAATCGTACAATGACCGAATTATTTGAATATTTGTGGGTTTACAATTTTATGATTTAGTTTATGGCCTCAATTACTCCGGCTTACTTTTGAAGAATATCTTTGGTTATGTAGTCGTATTTATATTAATAAGTAAAATTAAAAAAAAACAGTTTAATAAATTTCGAAGTGAAAGCTTATTGTTGATGATTAGTACTTCACTAAAATTACACTACTGCCATCTATTGACTTTATTACCAAATGCCTCAGTCATCTATTTCCAGAACTGTTTACTTATATATTGTAGATGTCACTGCAATGAAATTTTGTCGTGTTCTATATGGCATGTAGATGGCACTACTTATAAATTCTTAAAATTGCATTAATTATGGTTACAATGTAAATTTGTAACTTCTATAATTTTCAATGATTTTATTTTCCGTTTATTGATTATATGAGAAATAAATAATTTTTAACTAATTTTTTTTAGAACGAATTAATTTTACCTTTTATAAGTTTCTACGGGGGATAGACGTAAAAAATACTTCCAAATTCCAATAGTATTTCAATCAAAATAATTTATCATAATATGTACATATTTTGCATTGTAAATAATTTTCAATCCATTTTATTTAATTAACATTGTTATTTTTGTTTATTGATCCTTTTTTATTCTTTTTTATTATATGTATTCATTTATTATGTCTTATTCTGTCTGTCCGACTGTAGACGAAGTAAAGCGTAAACAATGAACTTAAAATTAGAATTATATTCTACTCTCAATCTACATATATACTTCATGACCTACCTTTCATAGTCGTATGAACAAATGTACTTCGATATTTTTTATATGTATGTCAGATATTGTCTGACATACATATAAAAATAAATTATATGAATAATTTATATGTACAAATCTCAATAAACTTATATATACGTCTTTGAAATATGTCATTTAACTTACTGAAATATTAAAAGGTATTTGATGAAACTTTCCTATAATATAGAAAGACATCAGAATAACATATTATGGACTTTTATATGCCTTTATTCAATATTGACACGGATATACGTCAAAACAGTGTTCAGCACAAGTTTTGCATCATCACACTATGTATTAGGCGTTTCCTGTAACATATTTAAATAATCTACATTAATACTGTACTGTATGACGTTTTATGAATGAAGAACTGTTAACACTCCATATTTAGAGTAACATTGCTAACTTGAAGTAAGTGCAGTATTTTATTTTAATATTAAATCATGTGACAATTGACATATAATACATAAAAGATGTAGCTGGCATTTGTTTAATAGGTGAACGGAAGAGTGTTAGAAAGTATTCAAAAATTATATAAGGAATCAGTGTATATATGATTAATAGATAAATTGCATTACGTGTAGTTTTTAAATAACAATGAATGCTTGCTATTTTTATTTAAGAGGAGGCGAATCTTCTCAGCGTTTTACAGATTCACCGTGCGAGTGCCAGATCTAGGGTCCCCGTTGTAGGGATACATAGGTACATTTTAATTAGGTATACTTAAATTTTATTAAATATATGAATATAATATCTAGGTTGTAGTAACAAAGAAAAGATAGCCAAATGAAAATCGATATATTTTCGTTATTAGTATATATACATATGAAATCATTAATCAATCAATAAAATCTCTTGCTGATACGGCCTCATCTAAAGTGCTCCAATTGGTTTCCGTACTTTAGGTCTCTACCCATCATCCTTCTCAAATATTCGTTGTATAGTCCGACAGAGCTTCTTGTGCTGTTTTCCTTACCTAGTTCTCTAGCCTCACTGTAAAATGTTTCGCCTCAAGTAATTCTCTGTAGACCTGAAGACATGACTTGCTCATATGCACTTCCTAGTACGCTAATGGCGATGATTTGAAATTCTATAATGTATGACTGTTCGGAACTCGTTCTACCAAAAAAAAAATCCGAGAATCAAGGCTCCATAGCTTGATGATTGAACCTGTATATTTCAGTCTTAAATTGAGCACCTACGTTTTAGCCAAAATAGCCTACCTATTTTAGAATAGTTGAACATACCAGTAAAAAGTTCTGCTCTTGAGTAATTGTAGGATCTTCTTCCCATAAATATAATATGGTTTCTGAATCGATGCCCAACCTGAACGTATTATTCTTATGCTTTCCTCATAAAAATATACCATCCCAGTTGGGGTATTTAACCAAGACTTATGTTTTAATGCACAAATTGTTAGGTTTTTATGGTGTAAAAGGTTTTTATAGTCCACAACTGTCCAAATGGCATATAATTTCTGATGGCATTTCACTCATTCTTATAACCAATTACAAAATATATCTATTACCAGTGTTTCAAAGTTAACGAGTGAAGTGTAATCCATTAGAAGTAATTTAAATGGACAAGTTTGATTCTTATAATAAATGTCACTTAATATTTAAACATTAATTAATGTTGAATATTACTGACATTATTATTGTATTTGGTGGTATTAAATAACTTTGATATTTGGTTACATTACTTTATTGCTTGTGAGTGTTATAGGAATGAAAGAAAAAACTAATATAATGTATATCGATTTTATACAAATTTGTTGTTTTTAAAGACGTCAGTTTCATGACGTCACTAATGTCACTTCTTCTAGAACGTTCCATGATATTTTAAAATGAAACTTCAATTATTCTTAATGCTCCTGTATTTCTCGAAGGTTCTTCATAATCACATTATTCTATGGTTCGCACTAACTGAACTCTGCCGTCGTGCGTCCAGACGTCATATTTATATTAAGATTCAAACATAGTTCTTTTCTCCTTTTAACCAATCTTTGATTTCGTTTTACTTTTAACAATAATCATGAATACTAATGAGTTTTAATAATAATTGATGACAGGCTCAAGT